AAGAAGGGACAAGAGCCACCACTCATTGTTTCCTTGACTCTTGGGTGTCTTCATTGTGTGCTAAAAGCCTGTTTTCACTAAAATAGCAATTTTTAATTCTGAAAGGTAATCATATGTTCCCAGTAGATGTTAGCAACTTCCAACCTGATCTCTAGGGATAATTCGCAGTTCTGAACTATGCTTCACAAAAACATTTCCAGCAGTCTGTGCAGGATTTATTTCTATTCCATCATTGGTAATTGTACTTGTTGCTGCAGGAACTTTAAATTCTTCTGCAGCAAACTTTAAGACTGCTGGGAAAGGTGTACTTTCAGGAACACTCAGTACTTTGTACAGCAGCTGTGGGTCCAACATCAGCGTGATCTTGAAGGACACCTTCGACACGGTGGCCTACTAGACAGGCCGGACCCGGTGCGCCCCAACCTGACTGGCTGCGGTGCGGGCCAGGAGGAAGCCTTGATTTCTTTTATTAGTATTTTGTTAGATTTATTTCTGTTGCTTTTTTTTTGGTCCTACTGTTAAACAGTGCCGTTTTTAATTTCAGTTTCTCATTGTTTATTACTTTATTTATTTACTTATTTATTTTGTGTGTGTGTGGCCAGCTCAGCCCACCAGGGGGCGGGGCTGGCTGGCATGTGGTGCTGGGGGATTGAACCGCGGTCCCTGTGCTTTGCTAAGCTTGTTCTAAGTAGGTGCTTTAGACCACTGAGCCATCTCACCAGCCCTCTATTACATTATATAGAAATGCAGTTGACTTGTCACCTGTGTATCGTGCAGCCTTATTAATTTCACATAGCAGGTCTACTAGCTTTCCTACTGGCTATGTGTGTAGACCGTTACTTCTGTGAAGGGGACACACCCACACGCACATCTGCATGCCCACAGCTTGCTGACACCCAGGCGGTGTGGGATGGGCAGGTATGAACACAGCGCCCAGCCTGCTGAGGAGCACCTCGCACACGCCATGGTGGTAGCTGTGGTCTGTGTGGAAGCCCTCCTCAGCCAGAGGCAGTGCCTGGCCATGCCTGGCTTGCTGAATTTAGTCTCCAGGGCAGATTTAGAAAGACACACTTTGAGTGGAGGAGGCTGGCCAGGTTTTAGCATCCTGCTGTGCCTGAGTTTGTCCAGATTGCTTAGAGGGCTTTCAGTTTGGGGGCTGCATAGACTGTGTAGCAACTGGCCCAAGAAGGTTACGCCATGGCCTCAGCCACACTGAGGACAGACAGGAGCTGGACCAGCATCCACAGGGCCACCTGAGCACCTGGCCCAATGCTGCCACTTAGTTCCTGGTCCTCAGTTGTCCTTGGAAGCACACAGCAGCCACAGTAGAGTGTGACTTCCCCACAGGTCTCAGCCCTCACCAGTGCCTGGCATTTGGTAGGTGCTTGGTAATCAGTAAATCTTTGTTTCCTGACAAGGGACTCCACCCCTAGACATCTGTCTAAGTCCCTCAGGGCCTAGGCCCTGTCCTGGCGCCCAGCTGTGCCCTCAGATGTCTGGCCTCACCTCCTTATGTCAACACATGTCCTGTCCCCAGTCTTCTGGGAAGCGTTGCTGTTGAAGAATGTGCTCCGGAGCTGTCTGGGCAGTGACCTCACCTGTTTCTCAGCACTGGGCGCTCACTGGCAGTCGCAGGCACTTGCTGCAGCTCAGGTGCTTTGTGCACCCTCTGTGGGCACTGACGCCTCCCGTGTGCCTCCACCCGTGGAGGCAGGCTGTGTGCGTACCTCTGATGCCGTGGCTGGAGCACACTTCCCACCTCCCACCTCAGACCTCTGCTCAGGCGTCATCCAAGCAGGGCACTACCTTTGCTCCTGAATCACCCTCCACCACTCCCTTTCCCTTCTTTGGGGGAACTGGTATCCATTCCCAAATTGACTCTGAGGCAAGGACTTTAGGTCTGTGCATCTGACGCTGCTTAGCTCTGAGCACAGGAAGATGGGGCTGCTCACCGAGCACGTTGGTACTTTCCCTGTCACAGGCCGAGCTGATGAGTGGCCTCATTGAGTACTGCATTGAACTAAACCAAGCTGTGGAACCCACTGCCCCCCAGGAGAGTTTACCCAGCCCCCACTCAGCCCCTGAATCCTTGCCACCTCCCACTCAGCGCCCCAAGCTTCGGAGGCAGAGTAGCGTGGTGTGCAGCCGGATCCAGCACCTCTCTACCATCGACTACGTGGAAGACGGTGAGCCGTGTGTGTGTGTGTGTGTGTGTGTGTGCATGTGTGCACTATGTGCACACAAGTGCCAGAGGATAGGGCTGGGAATGATTCCAGAGGCACAGTGGGGAGCCTGCTCTTGCGGGAACCTGGCGGAAAGTGGAGCCCTTTCTATCCCTTCCACTGGTTCAACAACAGTGTGTTCATTGTAGTATCATCTGGAACATGAAAAACGGGAACTACCCATTTCCTTTTATTGAAACCGGGCATATAAATCTAAAATTATTCCAAAATAGAATTTCTTCAGTTGAGTAACAAAGATACAGCTGTGTGTGGGTGTGTGTGTGTGTGTGTGAAGAAAGGGGTCTCACTATGTAGCCCAGGTTGGCCTTGAACTCACAGTGATCCTCCTGTCTGTCTCCCCAAGTACTGGGATTACAGGCATGCACCACCACACCCAGGGTGTGCTAGGCAAGTGCTATACCGGGTACACCTCAGCCCCAAGACCTTCCTTTTTTTTTCCAAGACAGGACTACACGTATTTTTTTTTTTTATTTGTATGTATGTATGTATTTTAGTACAAGGTCTACAGTGTCTCCCTACACAGATTGGCCTTGTGATTCTCCTGTTTTCAGCCTCCCAAGCACTAGAATTACAGGCTCACACCACCATGCCCAGTCTCAATTGATTCTCTGCACACCCCAGGGATGGGCACTGTTCCTACATCTGCCTAAGCAAAAGCTCTAATCTGCTGAGCTATCTGCTGGACCTACAATTTTTTTTTTTTTTTTTTTTTTTTCCGGAACCGGGGATTGAACTCAGGCCCTTGCTCTTGACAGAGAAGCGCTTATTCCACTGAGCCATCTCCCTGGCCCCCTACACATATTTATAAAAAATTAAAAAAGAAAAAATTGGAAAGGGGCCAGGGAGATAACTCAGTAGAGTAAGCGCGTGCCTGGCAAGCACAAGGTCCTGAGTTCAATCCCTGGTACCACAAAAAAAAATTGGAAGGAGCCGGGGAGATGGCTCAGTAGAATAAGCACCCTGGCAAGCACAAGGGCCTGAGTTCAATCCCCGGTTCTGCAAAAAAAAAAAAAAAAATTGGATTGTGGGGAGCCAGGGAGATAGCTCAGCAACATAACAAACACAAAAGTCCTGAGTTCGATCCCCAATACCACAAAAACAAAAACAGACTGGGTTGTAGGTTCAGGAAAGGCACAAAGACAAAGTGCTGCTTTTGTCACATCAGATTACAAGTGCCCATCAGTGTGGGCTGTTACTAACTGGGTTTTGGGTTTTGTTTTTTTTTTAATTTTATTTTGAGGGGCCTGCCCCTAGCTCAGTTCTTTAAGTGGCAGCTTCGGCAAAGCTTTCAGCCTCAGGTTGCTGTAGTTCGATCCCCACAACACTCCAGCCAACCAAACCACGCCTGAGGGCATTTAGAGAAAAAAAAAAAAAAAATCCTTAATTTTATTTTGAGAAACAAATCAGTTTCAAAACTGATTAATTACACAGTTTCAATAATTAATACATTGTACATTGTTACCTTCTTAGTGGTTATCCATAGTACAAGATGCAGACAGAATATCCTGTCCAAACACAGTTAGTACAAATCTTTCTTCTCATTGAATTAAGCGAAAGTAGCTGTATATCTATCCTAACTATTCTGTATATACAGATACAAAATGGTCCTTCCTTTGTATCCCCTTTTGTTTGTTTAGTCCTGTCAGAAATGGGTATTCCATTGGCATCTAAATACCAAACGTGCGTTAATTCAGCAAAACAATCCAACACAGTCCAGCAGTCCACAATAGTAGTGGGTTATCCACAGAAGTTGTTGACATGAGACTTTCACAGCTCAGCATATTAATATGGCTTTACTTTATATACCTTGTTTTTATACTTTCCTGCTGGATGGTTAAGACCAAGATAAAGCAAGACCTATATAACAAGAGATGTAACTCTTGTATATGATAAGGTCAGTCAAGTACCCTCAGGATTTATCCTGTAACCCTGTACCGCAGTTTGCAGATCTTTTGTCAGTGTCAGCCATGTGGATGAGTCACAGCCATTGCTTGACCACTTTGCTTTCTGTGAAAACCTGAGAGAATGTTTTCTCTCCGGGTGACTCTCCTTAGGCACACTCTATCTACATCATCGATCACATTGTTCTGTGGCCCCATAATCTCCTTGATGTGACTAGCTGTTGACCGTGACCACCTGGCTTTTTTTATTCAGCAGTAGCAGGGATTGGATCTATAGTCTTTTTGCACTATGCTACACTATCCAGCCCCACCCCCTTTTTTATGTATTTGGTACAGGGTTTCCCTAAGCAGCTCAGACTCATAGTGATCTTCCTGTTTTTAGCCTCCACAGCGTTGGGATTACTGGCATGTGCCACTGCACCTGGTCTCAGTGGCCAGCTCATCGTGCCTAGGGGCAGGGCCAGCATGGCATGTGGTGCCAGGGATGGAACCCAGTTCCTGCGCTTGCCTAAGCAGGTACTTGGTCCACTGAGCTATCTTGCCAGCCTTCACAGCCCTTTTAACTTGGGAGAATTCTCTGTACCTGGTTTAGGTGCTCTTTACTTACTTGTGTTGCAGGTATTTGGTGTGTTGGGTCTGTCACACAACCAACTTTAGTGACAGTCACTCAGACCATCAGCCCAGCACCACATAGCTGCCTGGAGTTTGTAAGCCCAGCAGAGCTGTCCCACTGCAGTAAGAGCCCAGCCACCCCCACGCCCACTGAGAGGTGCCTCTTCTTAGGTCTCCTCTCCTTTCCACACAGGCAAGGGGATCAAGCGGGTGAAGCCCAAGCGCTCTACGTCCTTCTTCAGCCGGCAGCTATCAGCGGGCCAGCGGGGCTACACAGTGGTGCAGCCCGCCGACAGCCTGGAGCAGGGCTGAGGATGGCCACGCCGGGCAGGAAAAGAGCAGTGGTGACCCAGCCTCTGGACCTGCCACAGCACTGTGCCCCATGGGCACCAGGCATGGAATCTATGGCCTATGCAGCAGGCGAGCAGCCTTGCTTCCTAAGGCTCTGAGTAATTTACACCAGGAAGAAAGAACTGCTGCTGCCTGGAGCGATACCTGGGCCGTGTGGAACACAGGGCCCCTCTTGCTTTCTGGCTTCCACCCACAGATGCAGCTGCCTGCCCCTCACATGGGGCACAGTGTCCTGTACCCTGCAGGGACTGCCAAATGGCAGGTGGCCAAGCTCAGGGTTTGAGACCTACAGGCTCGGTGTCTTTTTCCTTAGGCTTCCACATCTCACATTCCTTCTGCCAGCATTCCACCCACCCTGACAGGATGGGCTAGCACTTGCGTGTGATCGCTCCCTGAACTGAACCCTCTGGAACAGGGGAGACCTCCACACCCCCATACCATCCCTGAACTGGCCCCTTGCTCATGTCTCCCTGGCAGGCACAAGACGCTGGACAGAAGAAAGGTGTCTTGATGCAGCTTTTAGTGATGTCACTACTGGGAGGTGGCTGGCCTATGGACCAGCCAGCCCACCAGACTAACTCTGTACCGGGAAAAGCTCCCCAAAAGCCCCTTGTCGCATTTCCAGTCCAACAGTTGCCTGTGTGGGTCCAGCAGATCTGCCTTCTGTGTCCAGGTCTTCCAGATTTCTACTTGGTCTTCTCTCGTCTGCTTTTGTTTGGTGAAGCTAGCAGATACTTGTCAACCTCAGAGCTGTGGATTCTCCTTCATCAGACGTGTGGGGTCCCCCTGGGACCAGTCTGAACAACACAAGATGTGGCTTCTCTCCAAAGACTTTGGAAAGGAGGCTTGGATGTAGTTGCTTGGCTTTGTTATTCCCTACTCCGGGTAGGGCAGTGAGGGTGGAACCCAGGGTCACAAATACGTTGGATCTATGAGCTGTATCCCAAGGCCCCAGCCTCGCCCTCCTGGCAACAGTGGCTTTATGTCTTTTTTTAAAAGGAGCTGGTTCTCAGGATGGGGCCTTTCCTGGCCCTGCGCTTCTCTGCGCTTCTTGGTAGTGACTAGAAATGTGAACATGTATTACTCCAAATCCAACGGCCGTTTGTCTGTCCGTGGTAACTTGTAAGAGCTCCAGATATTTGGAGGTGGCCTGCCTTCTAGCATCAGTGACTTCGTTATCATAAATAAGGAAAGAGGAGAGCTGGGAGGTGTCTCCAGCCTTTTGGAATGTCTGGGCTGCATCTTAGTATCAGCTGCCATCTCCTGTCTCCTCTGCTAGCTTGGTGTGACCTCACAGCTGCCCGCCTGCTGACCTGTCCCAGCACTCTGGTCTCCCGGGCCTACTCCCTATTAGCTCCGCACAGTCTTCTCTGATTGCCCCACAGGCAGCCAGGGTCTGGTGGGGGATTGCAGGTTGCTGTGTTTCCCACTTCTGTTTTCTAAGCATCTGTTGTGCCTTACTCTTCTCTGCTGCCCTTTGGGACAAAGCATTCTACTGAAACAGCTTTGAATGTCCTCATTTTGTATCATGCAGTTTATTAATAAAAGCAGTTTTCAACAAGCCTCAGGGTGGTTTATGGTAGGAAATGCTAAGGGGTGTGTGCCTTATAGCTGAGGACTAGGTTGCAGGCATCCACCAGGCCTGTAGCCGAGCCAGGGCCCCCATAAAGTTCTCTCATCCTTATGCTTGCCAGGAGCTCCAGGAAAAGGTGGTCAAGGAGGGCCAGGGGCAGCGTTGTAAATCTCCTGTCCTCTAGGTCCCCCACAGATGTTGCCAACACCCAGTTTGGAGGGCAGGGACAGCACAGGGCTCTGCAGGAGGCTGTAGTAGTAGCAGTGACATAGGCTTTGGCCCTTCTGTAAGCACCAGAAGTTGTGTGCAGGTTCACACGATATGTTTCTGGGGGTAGAGGCAGCTAGACCCGTGGCCTTGAGTTCAGTTCCCATCTCCTTGTGACACAGTGGTGGCTGGTGACCTGGCTGGGACAGCACAGTGGCATGACCACAGACACCTAAGGCAGATATGAGTCTCATTTCTTAACCTTTCAGATGGGAGTAATAATACTAACAATGTTTGGTCAATTAAATGCATATATCTTATACTCTGAGTAGCTAAAAATAATATCAAATGTATTAATCATTGTTACTCTGCTGGGGGGTTTTGTTTTGTTTCATTTTTTAATTTTATGTATTTGGTACAGGGTCTCACTATGCAGCTTAGACTCAGTGATCCTCCTGTTTCAGCCTCCCCAGCGCTGGAATTACGGGTGTGCGCCACCACACTGAGTCTTGGTGACTGGCTCAGTGCACCCAGGGAAGGGCTGGCATGGCATGTGGTATCAGGGATCAAACCCAAGTCCGTGCACTTATCAGGCAAGTGCTTAGACTGCTGAGCTATCTCCATGGCCTTCTGTTTCTTGAATTTTTTTTCCTTTAGTATTTGTTGTTGTTTGGGGTGGGGGGGTGTTGGTTCCAGGGATCCTACTGGGGACTTTGTACTTGCCAGGCAGGTGCTTATGCCACTGAACTATATCCCCAGCTTTGAATATCTATTTTTTTATTTATTTTTTTTTTTAATCTTTATTTGCACTCACTGTGCAGCTTACACTCAGTGATCCTCCTATTTCAGCCTCCCCAGTGTAGGGATTACAGGCATGTGCCACCATGCCTGGTTTTGGTGGCTGATTGCATTGCATGTGGAGCCAACATGACATGTGATAACAGGGATAGAACCTGGGTCCTTGGGCTTGCCAGGCAGGTGCTTAAGACCACCAAGTTATCTCCCTGGCCCTAAAATAAAATTTATTTTATTTATTTTTATTTTTTTTAAATTTTATTTATTTATTTGTGTGTGTGTGTGTGTGTGGCCAGCTCAGCCCACCAGGGGGCGGGGCTGGCTGGCATGTGGTGCTGGGGGATTGAACCACAGTCCCTCTGCTTTGCTAAGCTTGTTCTAAGTGGGTGCTTTAGACCACTGAGCCATCTCACCAGCCCCTTAAAATAAAATTTAAAATAGTAATACTGCCACCTTCTGGCCTTACTTACTTATTTATTTTGAGACAGGGGCTTACTGTGTACTTGTCTTACCTTGAAATCTTGTAACCCAGGCCAGCCTCAGACCTTCAGCAGTCTTCCTGCTTCAACCTCCCAAGTGCTGAGGTTACAGGCATGCCCACCATGCCCCAGCTGTTAGGTACCTTGGTTCAGAGCAGGCAGGGCACTCAGCAAGTGTTCTGTGTTGGGCAAGCTGGCAGGGAAGACAGGGCCACAGGAAAAGCCTGGGCTGCTTGATGGCCCAGATCCTGTCACTCCCCCCTCCCCAGGCCCACTGTACCTGGCCAGCAGTGTTGTGGGCTGTTGCTACTGTGACAAATCCACAACCAAAGAGTAAGAGCATGCATGATGCTTTGGGTGGGCTAAGATTAAGACATGGGGCCGGCTGACTGACTCTGCCTGAGGCCCTTGGACAAGCCAGGAACTTTTCTAGGTTCTGAAGCCATGATATGGAGCCTTCCCAGTAGCTCAGGTTTTGGGTTTTTTTTTTTGTTGTTTTTGTTTTTGTGGAACTGGGGATTGAACTCAGGTCCCTGAGCTTGCCAGGCAAGCGCTTATTCCACTGAGCCATCTCCCCGGCTCAGATATTTTAAGTGCCTGCTGAAACAAAGCAGTCAGGCTCAGGATGCTGTGGTTCAATCCCCTCATCCTCAAGCCAAACCAAACCTGCCCTGAAGGCATCCTGAGCGGCCAAAAAAAATCCTTCTGAAGCCATGGTAGTTCTTAGTTCCTGGTCCCTTCCTCATCCTCAAAGTTAGTGATGGCAAGTGGAGTCCTCTCATCACACACTCTGACCTTCCACCTTTATATCTCTTTCTCAAGCTCTTCTGTCTCCTCTGCCACTTGTGGGGAACCTGTGATGAAAAGCCATTTGAGCCTGGCATGGTGGCCCACACCTGTAATCCCAGCCCTGGGGAAGCTGAGGCAGGAAGATTGTTGTGAGTTGGAGACCATCCTGGGCTACAAAATAAGCTCAAGGCCAGTGTGAACTGATAGTGAGACCCTGTCTTAAAAAGACCAAAAAAGGGGCTGGTGAGATGGCTCAGTGGTCTAAAACACCTACTTAGAACAAGCTTAGCAAAGCACAGGGACCGTGGTTCAATCCCTCAGCACCACATGCCAGCCAGCCCTGCCCCCTGGTGGGCTGAGCTGGCCACACACACACACACACACACACACAC